ATCATTGTGGCATCTCTTATGAGAGTGTTTGTCCTCGTGGTAGGAATAAAGAAATGGACCATTTCTAGCGCCACAGGTCCATCCTCTCTACTACTGTTCTTCTGGACACTTAAAGCTTCCTGACGGCAGGAACTATATTCTTCCCTGGATTCCCTAGAACTCGCACACAGCAGACACTTAATACAATATCTGCCTGAGGAATGCTCAGATGAATGGAGTTTATGTTTGTCCAAGTCATCTATGTTTGTTTGTTTTTTTTATTTTTTTTAAATTTTTTTATTTTTATTTATTTCTAGGAGAGAGAGAGACAGCGTGAGCAGGGGATGGTCAGAGAGAGAGGGAGTCACAGACTCTGAAACAGGCTCCAGGCTCTGAGCTGGCAGTCAGCCCAGAGCCCGACGCGGGGCTCGAACCCACGAACCGCGAGATCATGACCTAAGCTAAAGTCGGACGCTCAACCGACTAAGCCACCCAGGCGCCCCAAGTCATCTATGTTTTTAACAGCCCACAGGCTGGACACGACGGTGGACTCTTTACAAAGGGTCAGGACTTTTTTTTTTTAAACTGAATCCTCTGAACTTTACCAGGTAGGGTGTCTAGCCCAGGGGAAACTGAGGCTGAGAAGCTGGGCAGCCTGCCCCGAGCCACCCAGCTGCACAGATGGGCGCTGGAGCCCCAGTTCTGAATCACTCCGGAGTGTTCTTTGCGCTCTCCTTTTCTTCTGCCACCTGCCTTCCACGTAATTAAGTGATAATGAATTCGTTTCCCCATTTTTTGTTATTTATGAAAGCCATACGGAGCTGTCAATCAGAGCGTCTGTTTGGCAACAGAAAAGGCAGGAGCTCTTGGGCCGGGTCCCCGTCACTTCTGCCCAAAGCGTGAGGTTGTCGCCAGCGCTGGGGATGAGGGTGGCGGGGACTTAAGGGTGCTTACTTTGTGCCAAGTCCGTCACAACAGCCCTGGGAAGTACTCTCCCTGTTTTGGGGTGAGGAACGGAGGCCCAGAAGGTTTAAGTGCCTTGTCCCAGACCCATAGCTGGGATTCAAAGCCAGGGCCTCCGGCCCTGAAGGCCCTGCTCTCAACTATTGTGCCTAATACGGTCTTTCAGGAAGGACGCCGGGGGGAGGTGCTGTGAGGGACAGGGTCTGAGGGGACACATGGAGGAGGAGCAAACGGAGAAGAGGGGAGGGCAGAGGCATCCAGAAGGAGAGGGAAGCCTGCCTCGCTGATGCAAGGAGGGGTCATGAGACGCAGCATCTGGGGACGAGGCTGGCCAAGCAGGGAACTAGGGCATATTCCTCAGATTCCACGGCAGGTTCCGAATTACACGGCTGCCTACCTCTTGGGCAGGTCTCCACTTACAAAACCCCACAGAGCCTCATGCAAGCTGCTGCTGGCCCAGACGTGGGCCCCCTTGAGGCTTTGTGGGATCATACCATTTCCCCTTTGGCTGGAAGGTTCCAGAAACAGCCCTGAATGGACGGGCAGAGAGAGAGAGGTGGGGAGAAGGGTTAGAGGGGCTGGGGCAGCCTGGGGCCGCCTGGGGAGGGAGGACTGAGGAAGCAGGCTCCACGGATGTGGGCACCAGGCCAGCCCTCTACAGGTGTCCCCTCCTCCCAGCCCCGCCCCAAGAAGCAGGGACCACCATCCTCAGCGGACAGACCGGGGTGCTCTGGTTCAGCCACTGGGAACTTCCCTGTGACCCCAAGCAAGCCACCACACCTTTCTGGGTCCCAGTTTCCTTTTCCGTAAAGTGGGGGGAAGGGCTGGAGCCCTCCCTCGGGGTCTCTCCCAGCCGGCACCTGCACGGCTGGGTCGTGAGGTCAGTGATGGCCGCTAGCCCGTCCTGCCTCCCTCAATCTCCCTGATGCTCCTTCTGTCTCCCTCCTCAGGAGGCGTCCAGCTGATAGACACCGAGTGGATGAACCGGAAGACCCTGGGAGGCAGTCTGTTGTGCCAAAGGGTTCAGGACCCCTTAGAAAGAGGGAAGTCATTGCTGGGTCCAGCCTGCTCCTCTTACAGATGCGGAGGCTCAAGCCCAGCGAGGGGAAACAGACTAATTCAGGGGCAGAGTCAGGACTCAAGACGGGTCTTTCTAGCTCCTGCCTTCCCAGGAAGGCCAGCCCCAGTTCCTTCTGCCTTATCTCTTGCCCTGGGCCCTGGTGAACAGCTTCCAGGAGGGCGGGGCAACCCTCCTCCCTGCCAGGGAGCTGGAGATCAGGGTGGGGGTCTCTCAGCAGGGCCCTGCCTGGACCCAGGAGGCCGCAGCCCCAACAGGACAGCAGAAGCAGAACAGGGTTTTTTTTCCTCCATGAGAGCCTGTGCGGTGGCTGTTCCCGGCCGGGACTCGGCGCAGCTCGGATGGCTGCCACAGAGAAGCCTTGTTTCCTTGAATACAAAACGGGCAGCTTTCTATCCTTGCCAGGGCCCCCAGCGGGCGGCACTTCCTTCCCTAGAAGTGCAGCTCCCTGGCCCCTTCCTGCCCCCTACACCGCTTGGTGCCAAGAGCTGGCTTGCAGGGGTGTTGGGAGGGCTTAAGGTCCCCTCTAACTTCATCAAAATCAACCTTGTCAAACGAACGCCCCCAAACGGCCTCTCTACCAAGTGAGTTTGCTTGCAAAGGCAGCTTCAAGGCCATTGCTCTGGTCACGCGTCTTCCTGATCAAGCTGCGTGCAGCCTCCCAAGATCCGGATCATTTTGGGGGTGCATGGGTTCTCCCAAAGAGCTCTGTCTTTTTTTTTTTTTTCCCCTGGCGGGGTGTAGGAATGCTGTGAAAACCCAAGAGAAAGAGGACTCTGGGAGAGAGAGACGGGCCAGCGGCGGGTCCACAAGGTGGAAAATGAGCCACGCACACGGAAGCGGGTGTTGAAGTGCATTTTCCACACGGAAGCAGATGTTTGGGATGGAAAACCCAGAAGGAGGAACATGGGTTTGAGAGTCAGAGACCTGAGTTCAGATCCTGACTCCATCACTTTCTAGCTGTGTGGTCTAGGGAAGCTATTTAACTCTTCTGTGCCCAGACTGCTCAACTATGCCTCGGTGGTGATAGCTCTAGCTCTAGATGTGGGGGTGCTGGGTGGAATCGAGGAGCTCCTGAGGATATAGCCGAGGGGCTGCATTTGAACAATCTCTGTGAACTCCCTGACCTCTGGGCAGGGGGCAGGTTCCACAAGGAAATTCCAAGACAGTGAAGGTATCTATACCTAGCCCTGGGCTCAAGGAGCTTTCTATCAGTTTGGGCTGGAATCCTGGACATCTTGCTCTCCAGGTGGGGCCAGTCTTTAGAAGAAACTTTAGAAGGACTCTCAACAAAGACCCTGGAGTCAAAGAAGCTGGCTCCTCAGGGTCCAGAGGCAGGTAAAGGACTCAGCCCGCCCCCTCCCCCCACCCCCAGGCTGACCCTTGGAGGAGTATGGGGCTCCCAGCCATACAGGTCTGGGAAACAAAGCGTTGTGGCCAGAGGCAGAAGCAGCAGCTGCGAGAAGTGGGCAAGAGCTTTCTCAAGCTACAGGGGTTGTGAAACACCTTGTCCCTGGGCTTCCTGCTTGCTGCTTGGGCGCACAGCCTCGTCCAGCCCTGTCAAGGTGCGCCAACACCTCTCCACTCCAGACCATACCCTGGGCTGTTCCAGGCCAGAAAAGGGGCTGGGCAACAAGCTGTGGGGAAGGGTGCCAAAGGGAAGGGGGCTGAGAGCTTTCTCAACGCTCCACCACTACCACCGCCGCCCTCCCCCCTCCCCAAGACCGTGGTTGTGAAGAGTCTGACGGTCCATCTCAGTCCCAACTGGATGTTCTCAGGGATGGACCAGAAGGGGACCATTTAGCCTCTTCACAGAGATTTTAAGTTTTGGGGGGCGTGGGGTGGGGAAGGCTGAGCCACAGGCCTGGGGGTGCCTGTCCACTCTGCTAAGGGCACAGTGTGTAGAAGTACATAGAAGAAAGGGGAGGGGTGAGAACAGCCAGGCAAATTAGGTAGGAAGGTGTGGGGTGTCGGAACCCCGTGTGGGAGGTAAGAGGGAACACAGTGTGGGAAGGAGGGAGAATGGTGGCTCTTGGGGGGGCAGTGACTGCAAAGCTTCTGGGGGTGGGGGCTTAGGGCAAGAGGAGGGGGGACACTGTGGAGGGAGGAGGGGTCTCAGCTCTGAAGGGAGGATGGGGGGTGGTACATACCTGCAGAGTGGGGGGCTGGGGTGGAGGGGTCTCTCCCTAGGGAGACCACCTGAGGGTCAAGGACAGGGGTCCTGGATAAGCAGAGTGGATGGGGGTTGGGGTGGGAGGGTCTGAAGGGTGTTTGATCAGTTTGTTGGCAGATGCTGAATACCTGGAGGGGAAGAGGAGGGAGGTCCCTGCCCAGAACCTATGTTGAGGGGCATCTGAGATAAGCAGAGGAAATGAAAGGACCTCAATGCAAACAATGTGTATGGTCCGGGGTGCAGGGAACATGAACCTTTGTTGAGAGCTGAGGGGTGTGTTGGGGGGGGGGGTGTTTCGACCAGGGTGTTGGGGGGGGGGTGGGGGAATTCGAGTAGCTAGGGAGAGGGAACGGGAGGCCACAGGGTCTTCAAATCTCGGTGTCTGGTGGGTGGCGAGGGGAAGCTTCACTAACTGGGTAGGGGTCCTAGGCCAGAGACCCAGAATCTTCAGACTCCTGTGTATGGTGGTAGTGGGGGGCTCGAGGGGACTCGGGATTGCCTAGAGGAGCCGCGCGGTCCCCCACACCGAGTACGCGCGTCAGGTGTACTGGGGACCGCGTCACCAGGAGGAGAGGGTCGCGCGCCAGGGCCTGGGGGTCGCCAGACTCACACGCGTGGTGGGGAGGAGGTCCTGAAGCCTCGTGATTAAATGAAAGAGGCCGTGGGGTCGCGACTCATGGTGTGTCGGGGTTCGGGGGCGCAGAGCTGGCAGCAGGGGTCCCGCGGGGCGCGGGGTTCGGGGGGTTCGGAGCCCAAGGCCGGCGCGCGGGGTGGGTGGGTAGGGGGCCGGGTCGGGCGGGCACTCACTGCTTGAACATCTTCTCCATGTCCTTGATCTGCTTCCTGGAGAACTCCTTGAACTCGGTGTAGGGGTTGAAGACGCGGCGGCTGGGCGACTGGGGCTCGCCGATGCCCTGGTTGAGGTCGGCGCGCCGCAGCAGCTTGGCGCTCAGCTCGTCGTCCGCGCTGCCCAGCGCCTCGGCCGCCTCGTCAGGCGCCCCGGCCGCCGCCGCCGCCGCCGCCGCCCCATTCAGCCCGGGCTGCTCCGGGGCCTCGGTGCCGCCCTCGCCCTCCATCTGCAGCCGCCGGCTCAGCTTGCTGGCCAGCTCGTCCGTGGCCATGGTGGCCCGCGCGGCGCTCGCCTGGGCCCGGCCCCTGCTCGCCGCGCGCCCGCACCGCCTCTGGCCGCGCTCTTCCTCTTCCTGACACTCCCCGGCGCCAGGCTCCGCCCCCGGGGGTGGGACTTAGGCCCCGCGCGGGGCCCGCCCGCTCCCCGCCCCCGCGCCCGGCCCTGCGCGGCCCGCGTGCGCCGGGGCTCCGCCGCCTGGGCTCGAGGGCGCGGGGCGGGGTGGCGTGCACCCCTCCGCCGCTGCCCCCGGGTAGTGGTTGGGGCCCCCGTAAAAATCCACCGCGTTCTCCAGTGCGCTGTGGCAGCTGAGGGGCAGAGGTCGGGCTGGGGGCCCGGGACCGAGGCGGGGAGGACGCGGATCCATCCCCTCAATTTGGGTATGGGTCAGGGCCTCGGAGGGACGCCGCCCCCAACCCCTTCTCTGGAATCCCCACACCGCGAAGTCGTAATCCCGAGTCTGTGACACCCTGTCGGTTGCCATGGAGACGACTCGCTGTAAAACACCGGCGTTCTCAATGAGGGTTGCAGGGGTATGAAGGTGGATCCGGGGAGCAGGAACCCCGGTTTAGATCTAACTGCGGCTAGACCGGCTGGAGCTTTCGGAGAGGGCTGGACTAGCAGTTTCGAGGCTAGATGGGGCCGGGCCTCAGCCCTGAACGGTTCTGAAGACAGAGGGAGAGCTAAAGCGGGGCACGGGCTGGTCCTCACCCCTGGCCCAGCACACCCCATGGATGACTTGGCAGAATAGAGCTGCTGGGCCACGGCCGTCCCCTGGGACTTTGCTTTAGGGAACTGGCAGGGAGCTCTGGATGGTGCCATTTCGGTGAGGGCCCCGGAGGAGATATCCTCCCCAAGGCTCCATGCCATACGCCTTCCGGAAGAAGCCCGAGAGGATCTCTCTCTGTGGTCTGGTGTGTCACCTTAAAACTGCAAAGCTGTTGGGGCGGCTGGGTGACTCAGTTGGTTATGCATCCGACTTCGGCTCAGGTCATGATCTCACCATTCAGGAGTTTGAGCCCCGGGTCAGGCTCGGGTCAGGCTCGGTGCTGACAGCTCAGAGGCTGGAACCTGCCTTGGATTCCGTGTCTCCCTCTCTCTCTGCCCCTCCCCTGCTTACACTCTGGAAGACGCTCCCTGTCTCTTTCTCTCTCTCAAAAATAAACATTAAAAAACAAAACAAAACAAAACTGCAAAGCTGTGGACCTTCAACATCAGAACCATTGTGGAGGGGGGCAGGGGAGGGCGAGTTAATAATACGGAGTCCCAGGCCCCAATCCAGACAGATCTCTGCATGGGGCTCAGAAGCCTGCATTTTAACAAGCACCCAGGGGAGTTCCTCTCACTGAAGTTTGAGAATCTCTAATCAAGGAGGACTAATGATATTTTGTGCTTATTCTCTAAAACATTAGGGCAATGCTGAGGGTGGCTATGCAGGAACCACTCCCACCAGTTCGTGCAGAGAAAAGATGGATGCAGGGCTTAAAAACCCAGACTCCGGAGGCACAGAGCACTTGAGAATGTAAAACCAGCAAGCTGTTCCAGACTGATTTGCATAAAACAGACCCTCATTGGTATTTGTTGGTTTGCCATAGAATATTGCTGAATTAATTTAAATGGCATTTAAAGAAAACAAAGTTGAGAAAAACACTTTAGGGTTCAGAAAGTACGATGTTTTCATTAACTTATTTTTGAGATTTTTTTGAGTCTAATAAAGATGTTCAGCTTAAATGACATTTTTCTTGTTTTTAAGATCAGAATTGAGTTTCTGTTGGTCTTGGGCAGTTGACTTCAGCTGCTTGGAAAAGGCAGTTTCTATATCACCCATATGTGCCCTTGAAGGACCCAACAGAAGTAAAATAGTTAAAATAATTTTTTTAAATGTTTATTTATTTTGAGGGGAGGGACAGCGAGAGAGAATCTCAAGCAGGCTCCATGCTGTCAGTGCAGAGCCCGATACTGGGCTCGAACCCACAAAGCACAAGATCATGATCTGAGCCGAAATCAAGAGTTGGGACACTTAACCCAATGAGCCACCCAGGCGCCCCTAAAAATAGTTTGTTTTTTATTGAATGCAAAAGACTAGGGATGGGATGTGGATCAAAACTTTAAAAACTCTGTCTGCAGATGCTCTGGTTTGCCAGATTCTTAGCCTTCCTCACCAAGCAGCTGATGACTTTTAAAGATCTGGTGAACCTTAACTCGCCCCAACCTATGATTTATAATGTGTCTGCATGAACTGGGGCTGCCTTCATTATGGTATGTTTTGCATGTACTTGACGTGGGAGCCAACTTTTAATAGTGATGAGATTATGTGGGGTTTTGCCTTGAAAAACAGCTCACATATATGTGAAAACCAGATATCGTTTTGGTTTGAATTATTTGGATGGGCTGTGTCTGTTAAACTCCCCTTTGGTTTATGTGGACACAGCCCTCAGGAAGCTGGGCAAGCTTCCTGATGCAGTTGGGGAATCCTTGTTCATTACCAAGTGTGTCTTGTAAAAGGGGAGAGAGGATCGCCCAGATCTTGCTGCTGTTATCCTCAGGCAGAACTCAGGAAACGCTGCCCCGATGGGTGAGCCCTTTTAACGCCTCTTGGGTTGGTTTTCTCACAGGTTCTCAGAGTTTTAGGCAGAATGAGAGCTCACTTCCCTGCCTCATGCGTCCTTGAGCCTGGGCCCTGACAGTAGACACAAGTGTTAATCGGCTAACATCTGAGATGCATGCCGGGGGCTGCATTTCACTTGAACGTTTTCCTTCCTTTTTTTTTTTTTTTTAAATTTTTAATGTTTATTTATTTTTGAGAGAGAGAGCGAACAGGGGAGGGGCAGAGAGAGAGGGAGATACAGAAACCGAAGCAGGCTTCAGGCTTCTGAGCTGTCAGCACAGAGCCTGATGCAGGGCTCAAACTCACAAACCATGAGATCATGACCTGAGCTGAAGTCGAACGCTTAACCAACTGAGCCACCCAGGCGCCCCGAACGTTTTCCTTCTGAGGCCACTGGACTTGAGGAGTGGCACCTATTCAGAAATAAAAATAGTGGAGGAGGAGTGGCAGGGACAGTCCAAGAGCACTGATGTAGAACTTCCAGGAAGCCTGTTCCGTAGGGGGCATCGTTTCTGAATGACCCTGAGTACTGTTCCCCAAGCACAGATCTGGACAGAGAGAAGCGATCTGGACTGGCTACACGTTACAGCATTTTGTCATGTGGAAAGAATGAATCTTCAGGAAAAAAATCACACCCTCCGCAAAGGATTTTTACAGAGGCAGGGGTGAGGGAGCCAGAGCCAATTCTGACAATATTCCAGCGGCAAGGGAGCTCGGCAGACTTAGTCATCAATGACTTATGTTTCTCTTCTTCCTCCCACATCTACTTGTGTAACTGTCTTTCGGGGAGGGGCGAAGTAATACTAAGAAAAACAACAGCACTTCTTTGAAGGGGGGGGAGGAATGGGGAAGGGTGGGGGGGGGCTCCTGGGGTTTGGAGGCAGATGGAGGGGACTGTGAGGGGCATTCCAGAGCCTTACAGAACTGGGTGGTCCCTGCAGCCTGTGTTGCTAGGAAGGGATTAGAGAGGTCAATGGAGATAACGTTGGCTCATAAAGTACAGCACTCACTTAGCACTTTATAAATAACAGCTTACTAATTAATCATCACAAACGCTCCGAAGGCACTCAGGAAACCCTTGATTGATTGAGAAAGATACACAGAGGTCAAGGCTCAGGGACAGCCCAGGTACTCTTTTGAGTGATTGGAGGAGCGAGAATGGGGCATGGGGTCACAGCCTGGTTGGTCTCAGGGGCTATCTCTAGTCTTACAAAGCCTGGAAGCTGTACACAAGGTGCACTGGGCTGGGGGGGAGGGGGTGGTGGGGGTGGCAGGAGGCAGGTGCTTGAGGGGCTGCTGGGCAGGACAGGGGCATCGGGCACGAGCTGCATGTGTGGGTCGTTAGGACCCCACCTCTCCATCTGAAGAGCCCTTTTTGTGGTTATCTTGGATGCGATGAATCTACTTGAAAACAGAGATCATCTTTCTAATTAGTTGCATGTGCTCAGCTGAGCAGGCTGGGAAAAAGGAGGCTGGGTGGGTTTTCTGCTTCTGTGAAGTCCCAGGCAGTTTAGTGTTCAAGTTTACACCTGACAGGCCTCAGTGTCAGCCCTATTTTGAAGTTGCAAACTGAGTGTGTGTGTGTGTGTGTGTGTGTGTGTATCTTGTGGTTAATGCTGCATCTGTCATACCTTCCTGGACCCCTTCCAAATATGGCAATTATATGGGCAGCTGATTTTGCCTTTCATACCACTCTGTGAAAGCAGTGTGAATCTCCATCCAGGCAATCAAGACATATTTATCAAGTGTTTTGGGCGCTGGGGTGGGAGGAGCTGGACTAGCCAGTGGGAAGAGTGAGATTTGCTGGACACCACATTGGGGGACAGAGAGCTGGATTGTGGCACTTATGACAACCCGCAGTAAAGCTGTTTGTAAAATATCTGACACCCTTTATCCCCCTCCCCAGCCCTGACACAGCTTCCTGGGGGAAAGGACCTGTCTGGGTCAACTTTGGCTCTTCAATATCCAGCGTGGTGCCTGGTCCAAGATATTGCTGGAGAAATCTTTTTTTTAAAGTTCACTTATTTATTATTGAGAGAGAGAGCGCGCTCGCACACACACACACACACACGTGTGGGAGGGGCAGAGAGAGAGAGAGCACAAGTTGGGGAGGGGTAGAGAGAGGGAATCCTAAGGGACTCCATGCTGTCAGCTCAGAGCCAAAATATAGGGCTCGATCTCACGAACCATGAGATCATGACCTGAGTTGAAACCAGGAGTCTGATGCTTAACTGACCAAGCCACCCAGGTGCCCTGAGAAATCACGGTTGAATGAATGCATGATGGCATGCTCTACCTGAGGGCCTTGGGATGGACTAGCTATTTTCTCAGTGTCCCCTTCAGAGCATCCAGTGGCCCATTTTTAGGTCTCAAGGTCACTGCCAAGAAAGAGAAGCTGCGAAAATGACACTTCTATGCATCCACATGACTCAACACAAAAGTTAACAGGAGCTCTTGAAA